TTGTTTTTTTTTTTTTTTTTTTTTTTTTTTTTTTAATTTTCCTTTTAATACCCAAACACTCTGCACCCCCTTCCTGATTTTAAACCACGCAGTACCCCTCTGTTATGCTTGGATGGCAGCCCCTTGGTCTATGTACAGGTTCCGCATAAGCACAAAAGAGCTTTTTAAAATGTTAAAAAGCACAGATGTCACTTTGAGCACGAAGGGGCCTCTCCTGAGCCCAGCCATGGTGTTCACAGTGGCCTCGGGCACGTGAGAGCTGGACAGCGAATAAGGCCGAGCCAAGAACTGATGGCTTTGCGTCGGGGTGGCTGGCGATGGAAACGGACAGCCTGGAGGAAGACGGCCGGAATGCTCCTTGGAAGCGAGGGCGGCCAGACTTCGTCTCACCCACTTCGGTCATGTTGTCAGAAGGAACCATTCTTCGGAGAAGGGTGTCATGCTTGGGAAGGTGGAGGGGCAGCGAAAAGGGGAAGGCCCTCAACGAGATGGAGTGACACGGTGGCTGCGGCGACGGACAAGCACAGCAAGGACCGTGAGGCTGGCGTGGACCGGCGCTGTTCCGTTCTGTTGTGCGCGGGTCGCCGGGTCAGAGCACACACTGTGACGGCAGCAGACCCAGGGCTCCACCTGGCAGCTGCTGCTCCCGCCCTCCTGGTGGTTGGCAGCTAAGTACTTACGCATCGCACTGCCAGGGCTTCTTCCCCGGGCCCCCCACACTGGAAGCCATGCACTGGGGGGAGGAGGAAGGGGGGTCACAGAAGCTGGAGGGCCCCCCAGTTTACACTGTCTGACCCATCGGGGCTGTGTCCTGGCAGACACTGACTGAGCAGGGAGCAAACTCAGTGTTTTCAAATCCTTAACCCAGGGTCTCTCCCTGTGGGCGCTGCCACCGTGGGGTGGGCTTGTTCTCTGGGGTGGCACACCCCCCCCACCTCCATACCCACTCGATGCCAGTGGAACCCCCAGTCATGATACCCACACGTGTCCCCCAAGATGAGGACCAGCATGTTCACCCCATGCCCTGTGCCCCCACCCCACGCCTGGGCCTTGGTGGGCATTGCCCAAAAAACCACCACAGCAGCCGTACTGTCTTCTGTTAAAAGTCAGAAGGGTTTTGGCGTGTTTAATATCTCATCAACTTTACAGGGTTACAATCGTCTTAAATATTTCTGAAGTTTAAATACAATCTGCATAATAATGTTATTATAAAATGTAAACTTTCAGTGTTCTTTTAAATTTCAAAATCACACCTTTTTTTTTTTTTTTT